CTGTACCCTCTACCAAATGCACCTATGAAAGGCCTCCTCCTCCTCCTCTGATATTTATATCCGGGCAGGCTCATGTTATTCACACTTCCATCCAGATAAGAAACTCACTGGGTGAACATAAGCCAATTATACAGACTTGAAAGGGTCACCTTCATTTCCTTCTTGTCCTTCTCTTTCCACAGGTGAAGACTTGCTGAGTGTAAATGCGGGGGACCAGCCAGAACGTGCTGATGAAGGAGCAATGGAGAGCCCGGAAGAGGAGGTCTCCCAATACGTTGACCCAGAAGAACCTTCTCGACATTGGCAGGGATCTGGTCAACCTCAGAGAAGGTCTTCAGTGGAGAAAGGAGAAAAGGGCATTCATTGTGACAGCAGCGAGCCTTTTGGTAGAACCTCAAGCCCACAGAGAATCCACACGACGAACCGAGAGGTTCATGAGAAGGTGGGCAATGATAACTTCCCGAACGACTCAGAGATCATTCAGCTTCAGGCGACTCACAATGCAAGCTTGCCATATAAATGCTTGGACTGTGGAAAGAGCCTCAGTTGTAGCACCAGCCTCATCCGACATCAGAGGATCCACACAGGAGAGAAACCATACAAATGCTGGGAGTGTGGGAGATCTTTCCGCCAAAGTTGGGGCCTCACGATTCATCAGAGGATCCACACAGGAGACAAACCGTATAAATGCTTGGAGTGTGGGAGATGTTTCCAACAAAGTTGGAGCCTCGTGATTCATCAGAGGATCCACACAGGAGAAAAACCATACCAATGCTTCGAATGTGGGAAATGTTTCCGCCAAAATTCAGACTTCATGATTCATCAGAGGGTCCACACAGGAGAGAAACCGTACAAATGCTTTGACTGTGGGAAATGTTTCCGCGATAGTAAGGGCCTCACGAATCATCTCAGGATCCACACAGGGGAGAAACCCTACCAGTGTCTAGACTGTGGAAAAAGCTTCCGGGAGAAATCTCAACTACGTAGGCACTCCATAGTCCACAAGCGGGAGATGGGAACCAGGCCCTACACGTGTTCGGAGTGTGGGAAGGGCTTCCGCTGGAAATCCAACCTCATTACACATCAGAAGACCCACATGGGGGCGAAACCCTTTGGGTGCGCAGAGTGTGGGAAGAGCTACAATTCCCACATGAGACTAGTTCAGCACCAAAGAGTCCACACCGCCAGTAACCCGTACACATGTTCTAGCTGTGGGAATAGTTTCCGCGACAGCTGGGGGCTGACCAGACACCAGAAGATCCACACGGGGGAGAGGCCGTACAGCTGTACGGATTGTGGGAA